ATTGGGTAGTTCAAATCGGTAAATGGGCAGTTTCTTGTACTCAACAGATAGAAAAAATGGAGTTCTAAAGAAATAGCTATGAGTTTGGTCAAATGAAACAACGGAATTTGCCAAAAACAGGGCTCAAAGTTGGCGAAATCACCGATGCGTATATGTCCTTGAGACCAGTAACTTTGCAGGAGCGTAATTCCGTGAGATTTCGACCAAATTTCGTACTTTTGGTGTCATTACCATTTCCAAAAATTTATCGACATAGAATGACAGTTTCAGAAAGGGGCCTGCGACAGTCAAAGAGTTAATGACACTGGGAACAACTTGGGTCACTGGACCTCTGTCGCACAAAATACATGTCCAGAGAGCTCTGTTTCTAGCATTTTCTTTAAGATTTGTCTGAAGTGGGACACAACACTGTCATTGTACATGTTGCCAACATGACCTGCAACAGCTTTGTCAAGGTGAAGTTCATCCATAAATAATTGCACTTAAGTCCACTTTGCACAAATATCCTTAATCTTTGAAGAAGGCACCTTCCTCCATCTCTCTTCCTCCTCCTCTGCAGCAATTTCCTTAGCTGTTCTCTCTTGCTGTTGCAGATGAAGCTTTTGCAGCTCTGCTGCAGTTAACTCTTCATCGTGGTCCTCCACCAACTCTTCAACATCCTCGAAACTCACTTCCAACCCCATGGAATTCCCCAATGTCACAATACTTTCCACAACTGGCATAGGCTCCTCAGGGTCAGCCCCAAACCCTTCAAAATCCCTCTCTTGTACACATTGTTGCCACAATTTTCTCCAAACAGAGTTCGAAGTTCTGCAAGTCACTCCCTCCCAAGCCTTACCTATAAGGTTTATGCAAGTGAGGATATTGAAGTGATATTTCCAGAACTCTCTTAGGGTCAATTCAGTGGCTGAGGTCATTTCAAAGCACCTTTAAAACCTCTTTGGTGTACAGTTTTTTGAAGTTTTAAATAACCTGTTGGTCCATGGGCTGGAGGAGAGGAGTTGTATTAGGGGGCAAGAACTTCACCGTGATGAGACTAAACTCCTCCACCATTTGCTTTTCCAAGTCTGGAGGATGAGGAGGAGCATTGTCCTTTACCAGGAGGCACTTGAGTGACAGTTTATTTTCCAGGAGGTATTTCTTCACACTGGGGCCAAACACTTCATTAAACCAATCAAGGAAAATTTCCCTTGTGACCCATGCCTTACTGTTAGCCTTCCACATAACACACAAATTACTCTTGGCAACACTGTTTTTCTTGAACACACTGTGATTTTCAGATTGATACACCAGTAAAGGCTTTACTTTGCAATCCCCACTAGCATTACTACAAAACATGAGAGTTAGCCTGTCTTTCATAGGCTTGTGTCCTGGGAGTGTTTTCCTCCTGCATGATGTAGATCCTCTTTGGCATTTTCTTCCAGAAGAGGCCTGTTTCATCACAATTGAGCACTTGTTGGGGTTGGAATTCTTCATTGTTTACATACCCCTTAAACTCCTGTACAAACTTCTCAGCCGCTTTTTTGTCAGGACTGGCAGCCTCACCATGTATGCCAATACGCTTCCTAAATCTCTTAAACCAACCTTTGCTGGCCTTAAAATCACAAGCGTCACCATTCGTTGCAGGCATTTTCTTTACGAGATCGTCATGCAACTGCCTTGCGTTTTTTTATATTGTCGACTGCATAATACTATCTCCTGCTATCTGTTTTTGGGTAATCCACACCAGCATTAATCTTTCCACTTCCACCAGGGTTTGCGATCTCTTTTTTGTTAGCATATCTACCCCTTTTGCAACAACAGCACACTATTTCCTTTTCTTTCGCCACGATCGAAGTGATGGTTGAATGGAATTTGCCATACATCCTGGCAAGCTCCGTAACATGCACTCCACTCTCACATCTTTCAGTGAGTTCTTTCTTGAATACGACCGTGTTCCTTACTTTCTTTACCAAAGGGCAAGCTCCCCCACACAATCACCACTCTCGTATTTATTGTTATCTCCTTCACTGCTATGGTGTTCCTCATTTTCTTAACCACAAGGCCCATGGTGGCTTATTTCAGTCACAATTAATGGCTGCCTGGCTGGCTGGCTGCCTGGGTGGCTGCCTGGCTGGCTGCCTGCCTGGCTGGCTGCCTGCCCGACCACCTGCCCAACCGCCCACCTGCCCGACCCCCGCCCGCCCAGGGAAATGATCACTTAAGGATAAACAATGCTAGACTGGCTCATGACGCCTGCGCAGACAGGTCTGGAACACTGGCCGAAACGCAGGACAAAATTTGGCCGAAAAAAGCGGGTGAAACCTGAAGCGGCCGAAACCCGGGGTTTCACTGTATTACAATTTAGTATTCAAATCAATGAAATTTGAACATCCTGATTTTGAAGTGATGAGTACATGGTTGAGCAATCTTCAGTTCACAATTCAGTATTGATATTGAGACATCATTGGTACTTTTTTTGTGTTGCTTTTGAGTAATTGGTAGGTATTAGTACAGTTTTTCTGGTAAATTTTGGGTGAGGAGATTTCTAAGTAGGGCTTTAAATTGATTTGCAGGAAGGGGTCCTTTAGTGTGTTCTGGTAATGAAATCCAGGTTTTCGGACCCTTTACGTGCATAGCATTTTTGCACAGGGTGAGATGGACATGAGGGATATTGAAGAGTGATTTGTGTCTTGTATTATGGTTGTGTGTTGCTAGGAAGTAGAAGTTTGAGAGGAGGGTTTATATTTTTTGAGTATAGTGTTCTGTGCATGTAGTGGGCACAATAATATGTGTGGATGTTTTGTATATTAAGTAAGTTGACTATCGAAAAGCATAGGAGTATGCTGTCATTTACAAGAGTTTGTAATTAATTGTTCTGCAGTTTTTTGTTGGGTTATTAAAGGTTTAAGGTGATTTGCTGTGGTTGAGCCCCATGCACAAATACCTTAGGTGAGATGGTTTAATGCAAGAAAAGCTGATTGGAGTACATAGTACCGTATCTTTGAGAGGATGCCTACTGCTTTGGAGACTTTCTTGGATATTTGCTGTATGAGAGTTTGGAATTTGAGATTGCAGTGTAGGTGGAGACCTAGAAATTTGCCCTGTGTGTGTCTAGAAATGGGTGAACCATTTATCAGTATGTTTAGCTGTACATTTGTAGCTCTGTTTCCAAACAGCATAAAATAGGTTTTGTCTATATTGAGAGTAAGTTTGTTGGTGGTCATCCAAATAGATATTTTTAGTAGTTCGGCATTTACAATGTTAGTATGGTTGGGTTTGGGTTTAAGGAGTTAAGATGCATTTGGGAGGTCATTGATGTAAATGAGAAAGAGAAGTGGGCCAAGGACACTGCCCTGTGGGACTCCAACAAGAGCTGGTTATGTTTGTGTATACATACTGGGTTATATTGCTAGGATAAGATTTTAGGTAATCAAGAGAGTGTCCTCTAACCATGTAATATTCAAGTTTTTGGTGCAATAGGTCATGGTCAACTGTATCAAAAGCTTTTCGTAAGTCTATGGAAAGTTCCACGGATAATTCTTTTTTTTCGAGTGCTGAATATATTAGCTCAAGCATATGTATAATTGCATCATTAGTACTTTTCTTTGGTCTGAATCCAAATTGACAGGTGTTGAGTATGTTGTGGGATACTAAGTAGGAGTAGACTTGTTTGTGAATTGATTTTTCGAAGATTTTAGATAGGGGCAAGTTTGATATCGGCCTATAGCTGTTCAACTCAGTTGGATCATCACCTCTGAGGATCAGGGTGACCCTTGCTGTCTTGAGTATGGATGAGAAGGTGGAAGGTTCAATGGATTTGTTAAACAAAGTTGCAATAATTGGTGACAATACATGAGAAGCTTTTTTATGCATGAGTGGTGGTAAGTTATTTAGGTCACCTGTCTTGTTCTTTAGTGTTTTGATGATGAGATTGATTTCAATAGAATTTGTTGGGGCTAAAAATAGAGTATTTGGGTAGTTGCCATTGAGGTAGGCTTCTGATGGAATGTTTGAGTTTGGAATTTTGCTTGCTAGCTTTGATCTTAAGGTTGAGAAAAAGACATTAAGTTTATTGGCAGTATCGGTTGACACATCCCACATTGTCTTCACACACGACATCTCCACTGCCTCCAGCATTTTATGTAGAGAATTTAAAGATTAGAAAGTGTGGGATTAACAAAGTATTATCCAGATAGCTGAGAACTGGGTGTTTGTGGTGTTTTGGACATACAGAACATGGAATAAAATATGGCGACTAGAAGACTGTTATGAATCTGGGGTAGAGGGAAGGAGGGGTAGTAGTTGTCCTAGGAAAGGTTGGAGGAAGAGGTTAAAGGTGGTTGTGTGCTTGAGGCTTGGACATTCGATAGGCTTGTGAGCACATTAGATAAGAGTGGTGGCAAATACTTACTAGGACAATGTGTTGTTTGAGTGTGAGCTAGTTAACATTTATGAAGGGATTCAAGGAAACCAGTTAACCAGACCTGAGTATTTTATGTGGGAAGTGTAGTGCTTGTACTCTGAGGATGAGTGGTATACTGCAGTTCAGTGGGCCATTTGAGCTGGAATAGGAGCACACTTCTGGCAAGACAGTGATTGAATAAGTGACGGTGAATGTATTTTCTCTTTCTGGGTCACCCCTTCTTCCGTGGGGGATGGGTGGTGCATTAAAAATATTGATTTGAACTGTAATGATGCTGTTTACAAAATATGCAACAAGTAATGAGGACAGCAGTAAATAATGACCTGCTCTTCTAAATATTGAAGACACTGCAATAAAAGTGTATGAAGCATACTTGTATTATAGATTAAGCTGAAGTTAATATGCATATTGGATAGGATCATGTGGTTTGGCAATGGCTTTATTTTTTAAAACAGTTGCAATAGGGAATGAAAAACAAAATTTGACAGTTTTGTATAAAAACATTGAGTTGTCTAGATTTTTATTTTTGTTTTTTTTTTATATACCTAACACTATGTTAAAAGAGAGTGGGAAGTTTAGTATATTAGAGCATAAATAATCTTACAGACTCTGCCACCATACACATTGCCTGAGCTTTGCCGCGTTCCCTTGAGCCAAGTGGTACTGAAGACGAAGGTGCTTGACATGGGTGAACCTCATGCACTTCTGGCGTTGGCTCTTGACCCTCCAAATCTGGCTGATATACATCGGACTATTTTAACACTGAAACAGGCAAGTGAATGGTGCATGTAAGAATCAGTTTAGTTTTCCTATTATTTTTTATTTTCCATGCATCTCATGTGTCCTTAGACTTTGTTGTGTGAACCAGTTAATGATATACTACAATATCTCTCTCCTTCAAGGAAGGGCTCTGATTCAAAGAATTGGAGCTACCCTTTCTGTGGATTGAATCTGATTACCTCACACTCTCCAAGGGACTGTATAACTCATATGGGTTTAGTGCTCCCTCATGAAATAAATACATGATTTCCACCTTTACATTGCTCTTATCAATAATGTTTTCTTATTGTGCATGTTGTTTAAATTGCTTTTACTGTTCTGCTTAATAGATGCCTCACTTTAAATAACATTTTAAAGCATTAAATAACATTTTAATAACATTAAAAAATATTTTAAAGCTCTTGATATGTCCATGGAAGATTAAGCTTTTATGTGACTGTCTTCTCTTGGAAGGTCATTTCCAGTTACTGATGGAATATTTGCATGTTGTTAAAGAAATACAATTTATATCTCCAGTATATGAATTTTTCTAGAGTGAAGTATAACATGTTCTTAATGTTTCTCAGATGGGTGCCCTTAGTATCTTATCCTATAGTCAGAAGTCTTCCTTAGATGGTCACTTAACTTACTTGGGTCGAGTGGTGGCACATCTTCCTGTGGATCCTCATCTGGCAAAACTCATAGTAATGGGTTATCTGTTTGGCTGTCTCAGGGAATGTATAGTTATTGGTAAGTATGACATATTTGGCTTGAAGCTTCAAGGACAGCATCATCTTGATCAAAGAAATTAAAGCTACATTTCCTTTCCTTCTAAAAAAAACTGATAGCCTCCCATTTCTCAGTGTGAGCCATGTGGATTTAGTGCTTCCCCATGAATGTATTGATAATTTTTTTTTATTACTATAATTGTCACAATCGTAGTACATATTAATATTAATACAGGTCCGCCATCACAAATCCGGTAATCATTTATTCGGTTCCTTCAGTTATTCGGCACTAATTTCGGCTAGCATAATTTCAAATTTCCAGGGTCGCCACACCAACCTGCTGGTACTGTTTGGTGGTGCTACTTGCTGCATAAGTCATTCTAATTTCTTTTTCTCCATTTATTGTTTTAAGCTGCTTACTGTTAGCCCTAGCTATGGTTCCAATGAATAAAAGAAATGCTTCTCATTATGTAAAGCACCTACACAGTACATTATCCATTAAAAATAAGGTGGCTTTGAAGCCACTGTCGGTTGCTATGAGCTCAGTCTCGTGATGCAGGAGAATATGCTTTATTATTACGCTAATATCAACACTACAGCTTATTGCCTATCACAGTTGATCTAATATGACATAATAAACAATATAAATAACATAAAACATGTTAAATACTCCAGAATGAATAATTGGCATAATACCAAGCAGTTCGACGGAGGTATGAAGAGGATACGAGATACAAGTACCATTCTCCTATCCCTGTCTTCAGGCTTATATTAGAGAAAACGGAGTGTAGCACAGGGCTAACTGTCATATACACTCGTACTGCACCATAAATCTGAAACAAAAAAGCTATTTTCTCTATATAGATTAGTACACATAGCAGCATTTGTGTAGAGAACCTAGGATAACCCAAAAAAGTCAGACAACATGGCTTATTTCTAGTACCTGGCTTGGGTTACCCATATATGATTTTTGGTAAATATTAAAGTTTAGACAAATGCGCAACATCTGGATATCTTTATTGTAGACGTTTTGCCATCCAGTGGCTTTATCAATACAGATTCTAGGACATAATTAGAAGACAGTAGAACTATATACAAAAGATCAGGTAATCAGTCCCTCAGCCTTAGAGTTAGTGTTCACAGCATCGTGGTGGAGGAGTGTTCAGCAGAAGTTTGTGGTTACAGGAAAGTGGGTGCGGGAGGGAAGAGGAGCGATTGGTGGAATGATGATGTAAAGAGAGTAGTAAGGGAGAAAAAGTTAGCATATGAGAAGTTTTTACAAAGTAGAAGTAATGCAAGGAGGGAAGAGTATATGGAGAAAAAGAGAGAGGTTAAGAGAGTGGTGAAGCAATGTAAAAAGAGAGCAAATGAGAGAGTGGGTGAGATGTTATCAACAAATTTTGTTGACAATAAGAAAAAGTTTTGGAGTGAGATTAACAAGTTAAGGAAGCCTAGAGAACAAATGGATTTGTCAGTTAAAAATAGGAGAGGAGAGTTATTAAATGGAGAGTTAGAGGTATTGGGAAGATGGAGGGAATATTTTGAGGAATTGTTAAATGTTGATGAAGATAGGGAAGCTGTGATTTCATGTATAGGGCAAGGAGGAATAACATCTTGTAGGAGTGAGAAAGAGCCAGTTGTGAGTGTGGGAGAAGTTCGTGAGGCAGTAGGTAAAATGAAAGGGGGTAAGGCAGCCGGGATTGATGGGATAAAGATAGAAATGTTAAAAGCAGGTGGGGATATAGTTTTGGAGTGGTTGGTGCAATTATTTAATAAATGTATGGAAGAGGGTAAGGTACCTAGGGATTGGCAGAGAGCATGCATAGTTCCTTTGTATAAAGGCAAACGGGACAAAAGAGAGTGCAAAAATTATAGGGGGATAACTCTGTTGAGTATACCTGGTTAAGTGTATGGCAGAGTTATTATTGAAAGAATTAAGAGTAAGACGGAGAATAGGATAGCAGATGAACAAGGAGGCTTTAGGAAAGGTAGGGGGTGTGTGGACCAGGTGTTTACAGTGAAACATATAAGTGAACAGTATTTAGATAAGGCTAAAGAGGTTTTTGTGACATTTATGCATTTGGAAAAGGCATATGACAGGGTGGATAGGGGGCAATGTGGCAGATGTTGCAGGTGTATGGTGTAGGAGGTAGGTTACTGAAAGCAGTGAAGAGTTTTTACGAGGATAGTGAGGCTCAAGTTAGAGTATGTAGGAAAGAGGGAGATTATTTCCCAGTAAAAGTAGGCCTTAGACAAGGATGTGTGATGTCACCGTGGTTGTTTAATATATTTATAGATGGGGTTGTAAGAGAAGTAAATGCGAGGGTCTTGGCAAGAGGCGTGGAGTTAAAAGATAAAGAATCACACATAAAGTGGAAGTTGTCACAGTTGCTCTTTGCTGATGACACTGTGCTCTTGGGAGATTCTGAAGAGAAGTTGCAGAGGTTTGTGGATGAATTTAGTAGGATATGCAAAAGAAGAAAATTAAAAGTGAATACAGGAAAGAGTAAGGTTATGAGGATAACAAAAAGATTAGGTGATGAAAGATTGGATATCAGATTGGAGGAGAGAGTATGGAGGAGGTGAATGTATTCAGATACTTGGGAGTGGACGTGTCAGCGGATGGGTCTATGAAAGATGAGGTGAATCATAGAATTGATGAGGGGAAAAGGGTGAGCGGTGCACTTAGGAGTCTGTGGAGACAAAGAACTTGTCCTTGGAGGCAAAGAGGGGAATGTATGAGAGTATAGTTTTACCAACGCTCTTATATGGGTGTGACGCATGTGATGAATGTTGCAGCGAGGAAAAGGCTGGAGGCAGTGGAGATGTCATGTCTGAGGGCAATGTGTGGTGTGAATATAATGCAGAGAATTCGTAGTTTGAAAGTTAGGAGGAGGTGCGGGATTACCAAAACTGTTGTCCAGAGGGCTGAGGAAGGGTTGTTGAGGTGGTTCGGACATGTAGAGAGAATGGAGCGAAACAGAATGACTTCAAGAGTGTATCAGTCTGTAGTGGAAGGAAGGCGAGGTAGGGTCGGCCTAGGAAAGGTTGGAGGGAGGGGGTAAAGGAGGTTTTGTGTGTGAGGGGCTTGGACTTCCAGCAGGCATGCGTGAGCGTGTTTGATAGGAGTGAATGGAGACAAATGGTTTTTAATACTTGACGTGCTGTTGGAGTGTGAGCAAAGTAACATTTACGAAGGGATTCAGGGAAACTGGCAGGCCGGACTTGAGTCCTGGAGATGGGAAATACAGTGCCTGCACTCTGAAGGAGGGGTGTTAATGTTGCAGTTTAAAAACTGTAGTGTAAAGCACCCTTCTGGCAAGACAGTGATGGAGTGAATGATTGTGAAAGTTTTTCTTTTTCGGGCCACCCTGCCTTGGTGGGAATCGGCCAGTGTGATAATAAAAAAAAAAGTACATGTATATATATATGTATATATATATATATATATATATATATGTATATATATATACAGTGGACCCCCGCATACCGTTGGCATCACATACCGTTTATTCCGCATACCGCTCACTTTAATCGCAAAAATTTTGCCTCGCATACCGCTCAAAAATCCGCTCACCGCTGATCATCCGAGACGCGTCCAATGTGCGCCTTAGCCAGCCTCACATGTTCCGCCGGTGGCATTGTTTACCAGCCAGCCTCCGCGGTAGCATCCAAGCATACAATCATAACATTTCGTATTATTACAGTGTGTTTGGTGATTTTATCTGGAAAATAAGTGACCATGGGCCCCAAGAAACCTTCTAGTGCCAACCCTACAGCAATAAGGGTGAGAATTACTATAGAGATGAAGAAAAAGATCATTGATAAGTATGAAAGTGGAGTGCGTGTCTCCGAGCTGGCCAGGTTGTATAATGAACCCCAATCAACCATCGCTACTATTGGTGGTACAGCTGCTGCTGCTGCTGCTGCACTGTCAGCTGCTGCTGCTGCTGTAGCATCGTCTGCTGCTGCTGTAGCATCGTCTGCTGCTGCTGTAGCACTGTCAGCTGCTGCTGCTGCTGTAGCATCGTCTGCTGCTGCTGCTGCTGCTGTAGCATCGTCTGCTGCTGCTGTAGCACTGTTGTTGGTGTGGCTTATTGAGAATATACCAAGAAACAATTAACCCCAGAGGATTTTCCTCCCAGGATAACCCAAAAAAGTCAGTGTCATCGAAGACTGTCTAACTTATTTCCATTGGGGTCCTTAATCTGGTCTCCCAGGATGCAATCCACACCAGTCGACTAACACCCAGGTGAACAGGGAAAAATGCCTGGAACTAGTGCTCATATTGGTGAATTTAAAGCAAGCAAAGGTGGTTGAGAGATTTAAGATCGTAGTGACATACACAGTGTAAAAGGGCCCTGTTCTGGAAGAAAATGCCAAACAGGACCTACAGTACTCAGGAGGAAAAGGCACTCCCGGACCAGTGTCTCATCAGTCATTGCTGCATCTTCAATAAAGGTAAGTGTCCCTTTTTTCTTCATTTAGTAGACTAGTACATGCACAATATATACTGTGGGATGTACTACTCTACTATTGTGCATGTATCCTTCTCTTTGTGTGTAGGAAAATGTATATTTCATGTGGTAAAATTTTTTTTTTCATAAATTTTGGTGTCTTGCACGGATTAATTTGATTTCCATTAATTTCTTATGGGAAATTCATTCGCATACCGATTATTTTGCATACCAATGAGCCCTCTTGCACGGATTAAAAATCGGTTATGCTGGGGTCCACTGTATATATATATAATATATATATAAAATTAAAATATATATATATATATTATAATATATATATATATTACAGTGGACCCCCGGTTAACGAACTTTTTTTCATTCCAGTAGTATGTTCAGGGGCCAGTACTGACCGAATTTTTTCCCATAAAGGAATATTGTGAAGTAGATTAGTCCATTTCAAACCCCCAAACATACATGTACAAAAGCACTTACATAAATACACTTACATAATTGGTCGCATTTGGAGGGGATCGTTAAGCGGGGGTCCACTGTATATTAAAATATAATATTTATATATATATATAATATATATATATATATATTTTATATATATATAATATATAT